TCGACTTTTCATTTCGACTTTGACCTCCAAAGTCGAAATATTTCGACTTTTGGGTTTTCATTTCGACTTCATGTATAAATACAACCAAAACTTATACTTAAAAAATATTGTAAGTTAGTTAAGTTGTTATGAAATAATAAAACATAAAATGTAAAAGAACTTTACAAAATTATTAAGTTTATAGTTAGAAAATTATGTCATTGGACTTCTCAATTTAAAAAACCAAAGATTTAAAACAATGTTATTATCCAAGATATTCAAAATGTTTAAGTTTAAAAAAACTGCATTATCTTGATCAACTTTCTCATTCACATGCTTTTTGAAATTGCAAATACTCTTAATAACACTTATCCAAATCTTAATATAGTTATTCATACAGTTTGTAAAACCTTTGGAAGCTTGGTTATCATGTTTGTGTTTCTAAAAAAAATCTTATTATTAATTCTTATTGCTAAAGAAAGAAGAGTTTCTTAAGCAAAAGCTCATTAATATAAAAATTGAAAAAACACAATATTTTCTAATAAAATAAATATTCAGGCATTTCAAAATATTACCTTAGTTTGTTATAAAGAAGATGAAGAAAAACTAACTCATAGAGTTGTTAAACATCTATTCAAAGTTTATATTTGAGGGTTTTTTGTTTATAGGGAATTGTTAGGTTTTACATGTTTACTGAAAATATGAATGGAAAGTTATATCGTGAAATTTTAACAAATAATCTTTTTGATCAAGCATACTAGCTTTTAGAAAGTCTTGAATATTTCAATAGGACAATAACCTGAAGTATAAAACTAATTTTATAGTGTCTTTTCTTGAAAATCAATGTCCTGCAATTCTCGATTGACCATCATATTCCTCAGGTTTGAATCCAATAGAAAACTTGTAGGCAATTATCAAGAAAAGGGTGAAAAAGAAGTTCAATAAATGAATTAGTGAAAAACCAGTTATGCAAAGAATTTTTATGGCAATTATTAAGGAGGAATGATTTAACATCAATCAAAATCTTTGCCTTAATTTAGTAGAGTATGAAAAGAAGATAAAATTAGTAATTGAAAGAAACGGTCAAATATTAATAATTTAGGATATGAAAGATGTAATATTAAATTACTTACCGTTAAATTTTAATAAAAACTGATTATGTACATTTACTGCCAGTTTTATCCGCCACTACTGTACATAAGACATCATATATATAGAATTCTGTTTAATAAAACCAATGAATACTTGTAAATAAATATACTTTTTAATGGTTCAAATAAAAATCTTTTTATTCTTCACAATTGTGTGTAGTAATATAATAAGAAAAACAAATTTACAATCTTTCATATTTACAAACGACACTTCGAATGGATATACATGTAGCATTATATAATTTTACATTTTCATAATATCTTTGATAAAATTTGATGCTTTATGAACAATATGCTATTGAAGTTCACTGTTGTATTACATTATTTTTACATTTCGTGATATTCTGAAACCTTTTTGCTACAAATACATACGTAATAAATAAGATTATGGATTACTTCGCTAAAGTTTTAAGTAATATTATACTATAAAAAATTTCCTGATGAATAACAAGGATAAATAAACATGCGTGGTTTGCGAGCATAAATTGTAGTTTCTTTGTTTCTCGTCAGTTTTGCAAGTTTCCTTATTATACCATTCTAAAGTGGTTTATTTATTGATAGTAAAGTAAAACCATGAAAAAAAAACAAATCAAAACAAATATTTCGACCATTTCGGATATATTATCTACATTGCCCATTTATAAATTCAAATTTACTTTCTTAGATATGATTTGTGTCATAATAATAAATCGGTAACAAAGATGGTAATGATGACAACGTGAAAACGCAGGGTATGGACCTTTATTAATGTTTAAAAAGTGCTTTGTATTATGAACTTTTAAAATTAATGCAAATATTGCAATTAACAAACCTGGTGTAAATAAAAATTAAATTATACACAGATTTCTGAACAAATATTATATATATATATATATTTTTATTATAGTAACGTGCAAAAATAATAGTTTATAATTCTAAAGGAACACTTTCATCATACCACCAGGTTTTAAGGGTTTTATCATCACTACAACTAACAAATAAACTTTGTTTTTGACTCCAAATAGCATTGTACACTATTCCTCTATGTCCTCTTAATTTCTGTAAGACTTCACCGGTATCTTGATCCCAAATATACACGATTCCGTCCTTTAAATAATAATAATAAAAAAGGTTATTTCTCTACTATATAGGAAACAAGACATTCTGATGTATACCTCGGAACCTCCGACGATTAAAGAATCATTTACAAAACCAGCACGAATGAAATTTTTTGAGGTATTTTGATGCCCTTTTAATCTTTTTATAGGACGACCCTAAAAATATCGTAATATTATTAATTCCAAGGAATTAATGGATTTAACTAACATTTATTCATTATTACCATTCTAACGTCCCATAGTCTATTGGAATTATCTTTGGAACTACTTAACAACAAAGTTCCATTAGAATTCATTTCCACAGAAGTGACTTCACCTAAATGAGAAGAAATTGTTCTTATACATAATCCTGATACAATGTCCCAAAATTTTATGGTATTATCTTTTGAGCTTTGATAAAGAAAATGGCGAGGTTGAGAAATAAAGATAAAGTATGAGAGGACAATGAATATTTATATACAATACATACCCACTAATTATCAAGTTTCCCAAGGGATTAAATATGGTTTTGGATACTGATAATTGATGACCCGTGAACATTTTTACCAATTGACCAGTTGAAGCATCATAAAATCTTATGATCTTATCATACCCTCCTGATACAACATGATTCTTCATACAAATTAGGAGTATATTAGATTATCAATCATTGTATAAAATATAACCAACTATTGATATACACTTACATCGCCAGGATGGACCTTAACGGAATATACGTCACCAGAGTGCCCGGCTAATGAAATTATACAAGAATGTTTGCTTGCCTTCATATCCCACAACTACTTATTGATTTTTATTAGAAGTGAACTATGATAACCTATTTAAATAAATTCATATCATCCTACGAACCTTAATGGTTCCATCGCCACTAGCGCTCGACACCATTGAACCATTCTTATTTGATGAGACATCCCAAATTCGGGATTCATGGCCTTCCAAACTTCCAATTACTTTTGCACTTTCAGTCTCCCAAATTCTTATAGTGTTATCGCTATAAAAATCGTGAATTAATTAAAATATTTGAGGAAAAGGAGCAATTATTTAAACAAATTTATTACCTTGAACCACTAACGATTTCTCGTCCTTCTTCGCCAACGAATTCAACACACTTGACATTACCACGATGCCCTGTCAAAGTCGCACGTACTGCATTTGGTATTACGAAACTGGTATAGTCTTGTAATAAGGTATTCACTCGTGGAGCGATACGCGGATGGTATCGAGAAAATTCGATTTGGTACGCAACGGCTTGCCGAAGTAGCGTAAGAAGTCGACTGGGCGGCACGTACACGGAACCTTTCTCGGTGAGAAATCATTGAATGTTTTCTGCTATTTTTCCACAAACGCGATGAAGATACGCCAAGAAAAAAATCCAACAATTTTGTTAAACGAAAAAATCTTGGACTTGATGCGTACCATCCTTATCCGTATTCTCAAAATTGAGCATATTTTGGAAATGTTCAACTAACTTCTCCCTAGAAGTAATAATTCAACAATTAATTGTTCCGACAATATTTAAAAGAAACAATCACGGCTTACTTCAAAGATACACAAACCTTGCTGGTCCAACCCCCTCCCAATTCTTGAATGAAGGTGCATCGTGAACGGCTTTCGCAGTTAATAAATAGCACAAGTCTTTAAATTCATTAGGCGTTGTTTGAAGATGCTCGAGAGGTTTCATTCTTTTATTAAGAAACGTGAAAGCCTAAAATTAAAAAAAAATTATTATCTTGTGTGACTAAAGAAATTTTTTAACTTTCAACTTGCCTTTTGAGTTTCCTGATGCTCAATATATTCAAGATACTGTTGTTTATACACAGCGTATAAAAAGCTTTTATGATTTTTAATCAAGGGCTTAGCGCTCAGCTTATCAATTTCCGCCCAATCTCCATCTAACATAAAGAAATAAGTAATTATAAACATTTGTAAAGTATTAATAGAATTTTAAATAATTAAATATTACCAAGGATCGCTTTCTTCAAACGCTTGAATTCAGCAACGCGTTCTTCTTTTTCGTGCCATTTTACATTCGCCTCATCATAAATGGTCATTTTTGATGTGTTATAACCTTCATCCGAAAGATATTGAGTTATCATAAGAATTATATCCTGTTAATTATCAAGAGAAATATCAATGATCTACGCAAATATCGATAAAATATTAAAAAGCCATTAAATTATCACCTCACGTATTTTAGGATCTTCGGGATTAAAAATATCCTCAGTAGGTCTAATACACTTCAGATGCGCACCAACATGATGATGTGCTGTAGCCAATGCGACAAGACTTGTTTATTTTTAATTTTTTTTTATAAAAAAAAGATCATAAATTCAATATCCTCGGCAAATTTTCTGAAATAATCTTCAATTTTTCATTAAAAAAAGTATTACGTTTTACGTCGTCTTCTTATGTCGTCCAACTCTTCCAATTCTTCATGTGAATCTCCGTCTTCAGTTGTCTCTTGGTCGGCTTCTGAAGCGTCTTCACTTCTACTTGGATAATCAAAATCCTCAAAGTTTTTGCCATTATTTTTTGCATTTATCTTTGTTGGCTTCTTATAAACGTCATTTAAAAATAGTTTTTATTTATTAGCTTCGATCATAATTAAATTTAATAAAATAGTACACGTTTTTCTTGAGCATACCGATAACTCGGAGTTTGAGTCTTTGACCTCTTCGGACATTTTTTTTCTAGTCGGTAAACGATCAGTGACGTAAAAAAAAACTTAAAGGGTAAAACATTTGTATTACCCAGGATTTTCAGGGTTCATTAAAAATCGGGCCAAGATAATGCAGATCACAAAATTAATCAAGCTCGGATCATGTGATTTATATAATAATCTGTCATACCCTCCATGTTTCATTTTTTACTATTTAATTTGAAAACAGTTTTTTTTAGGTGAAATCCTATTTGTAACTTATTATTTGTCTCAGATGCTAACTCTTCTTGTGATGTGACATTAAGATTAAGTAATTAAACTTGAATTACTTATTTTTTTTTCAATTAAATGTAGTGCTGTTATCTTACGATACTAATGACTGAAAATTAGTATTAATGTAAGATTAACAAAGGATTTAGTTTTAAGACTTATAATACAAGATTTATGGAAAGCTTCTAAAGGTTTATATAATCAATATATATTTCAAGTAAATAAGTATAATTTACAAGTTAAGTAATTTAGAGTTTTATTAAATAAAAAGAATTATTATAAATGTATTTGTTAGCATACAAGTGTATCTAGTAATTATCTTATTGGCGATAAAACTAAACAAATTCTCTAGGTCATGATTATGTTTTCTCTCTTTAATAAAGTTTTAAAGCTACTCTTTTTATAAGAAACTTATAAATAAAATAATAAATAATAAAAATATAAATAAAAATAAGAAATGTAATCTTTCATCATATATCTGACATATTATATATGACAGATTTAGTCAATTTGACAGATTTTAAGGATTTACCAGTTTTAGCTGATTGGATGAATTTTGAGGATCTGCCAAATTTAGTTGATTGTATAGATTTTGTGACAAAATAAAAATCATATAACCTATAAGGTAACTTTTTAGTTTATTATAATGCTTTAAGACCAGTTTTCAGTTTCTGATTTCAGATTATTTTAGCTGAAAACTGGTCTAAAATATTTTTTAAATAGTCAGTTTACTAATCTAGACTGGATTATTAGAATTTAATTTAACTTATCGTTATATTGATCTTGCATCATTAGTATAACATCATATTTTAACTTAATTCTTTTCAAAAATGAGCATACATTTAATAAAAAGTGTAAAAAAGAGAAAACTCAAGCATTATTTAGAACTATTTTTTGAAGAGAGGAGAAACAATTATATATTATTTATCAAGTATGTAAAAATAAAGATATAATTAAGCATTATAAATGGATAAAGAATGCTTCAACATCTACTGCTCAAGAATATCTTTTACAGATCATAAAATTGATTAAGATCATTCAAAAGAGTAAGAAATTACAGATGGTAATATTAGGACTGCCATAAATTAATTTTAGAACAATTGTTATCAGTTTTATAATTCTTGATTGTTAGTTATTAAATATTCTTCAAAATAATGTATTTCAGAATATGCTTCACAAATTTGAATCAGGTTTTAAATACCAATTAAAAAAGGATGCAAAAGAATAATACAAAATAATTATAATTAGACAGGAGAAAATCTTAAGAAATTATTAAAATCAAGCACAATTACTATTAATATGACAATGGATCTTTATTCTTCCTGTTGAAATGATAGTTATTTTAGCAATAATCTCATAATTAGACTAAAAATTAAAATTATATGAAGCATTAATTAGCATAGAATTGTAATTCCTATATTTCTGAAAATATCAAAGACTGTTTGGAAAATATTCTTGAGAAATGGAATCTAAAAGAAAAGTATTTTGCAGCTATAATAAATAATGCTCTAAATATCAAAAAAGCAATCACTCTAATAAATAAAGTAATAAACATAGGTTATATAGCACATATATACTTTGCATCTTAGTATTACAAAAGGTCTAAGCCTAATTAAACAATTTATAAAAAGAGTTAACAAGCTAATTCTTTTTTTTGCTTTTAATTTAAAGTAAAATAATTAATTAAAGAATGCACAGAAAGATCAAGGATTTTCAAAAATATTTTAAATATTTCAAGATATATATATAAGATGAAATAGTTCATATCTAGTATGGAAGAGATTGTTAGAATTAAAAGTTGCTATTTAATAGCTTACAAATACTTTATATTTAGCTTATACAAAAGATAATAGGGATAATAATGACTATTTAAAGCTAATTATATTTACGTAAAATGAATAGAGGTAAGCTTTTTATTAATAAATAATAATTTTAAATACTTTAATATATATTATATATATGCTACTGAACTGATTTTTTATATAGCTTTTTACAGGATTTAATAAATATTTTAAAATTATTTTTGGATGTAACAGAACTTTATCTGATTCAAAATATACTACCTTAAGTTTTATATATCTAACAATATACTTATTAATAGAAAAATTTTCAATAAATGAAAAATCTGATGATAAATTATTCAATTTGATTTATAGACCTATATATAAACATAAAGATATACAAAATAAATTAGGTATTTATATTTCTAAAAAAACAAATTATATTTTATTTTAGTTAAGCAAAGATGATTTTATTTATTAGAAAAAGCAATTTTATTTTTAATTTATATAGATCCAGTTAATGAAGCAAATGCAGATGAAGATAATGAAACAAATTCAGATGATAAATTTATATAAAATTCAATAATTAACAGAATTTCACTAAAAGGTGTAAGAGGAAGAGGTCAGGCAAGAAGGCAAATAGGAAGTTCTGAAAGAAGACAAGGTGAAAAAGTAGAGTAAGAAAAGTAAATGCAGATTTTAGATTTTGAAAATGATGTCTTATTAAAGTTCTGATTAATACTACTAGTGATACTTGACAAAATTACCTTTTTTAATATGATGAAATTAACGAAACTGAAATGACGAAACTAGTTTTTTATTAATGACGAAATTATTTTACTTAATTGTCGAAATTATATTTAACT